TATTGGAGCTGGAATTACCGCGGATGCGCGCACCGTTCCTGCCCTCCAGGTTGTTCCTCACTAAGGGAATTCAGTTGTACTCATTCCAATTACAGGACCCCAAAGATCCCTGCATCGGTATTTATCTTCACTACCTCCCCGAGTAGGGATTCATTAATTTGCGCGCCTGTTGCAGTCCCCCCAGGTGGTGGGGGGGGGGAGGGGGGATATGCTAGGATTTCATCCGGCTGGCTCAACATTGGTGAGATCCGGCCAGCTAGGTGACAGAGGGCGAGGACCGAGGGTCCGCCGCGCGTGCTACACCCCTGGAATTAACTTAGCGTATATGAAGCGACAGGAGATTGCGGTGATTCGATGCGTGAAAAGCACATCTAGGTCGCGGACAGATGACAAGGCGCGCTTTTCAGGAAGATCCAGGACAGGTCATTGGCGACTTCTATGCACATCGAGACATCGAGACACAGTCAGGCACAGCAGCAGGGGTGATAAAGGACTCCTCAGACGAGCAGCCTCGAGGCGAAGCCTGCCCACCCCCCCTGCCTGTTCCTGTCCCATCTGACAGGCACGCCGGCAGCCATCCGAGTGGCCAGAGGCAATTGTCAACACGGCTACAGGGGTTCAGTCGAATAAACGCCTCTGTGTATCGTCGTCTCTTGCAGAAAAAGAAAGGATGACAGTTGCTGACGAGGAGGAAAGGGACAGAGGTCAGGAAGTAGGGAAAGCTATAAAGACGGGGCTTCATGCCATACCTTTGGACACGATGCCATCCAGCACCAGATTTCCTCCCTATCCTCAGACTCCAGCATCTTGAAGTCTATTCTTCGAGAAACATCATCTACCTTACTTACGCTCACTACAAATTTGCGACGCACTCTGCACCGAGATGGTGACCATTACGAAACAGGCTGAGGGCGGAAGCCACGCGGCGCAGCCCACGGCTGCCATCACCCAGATCAGTGCCAAATATATCCGTGCCGAATCGTCTTCGTGGACGGTCAAGGGCCAGGCTGGGTCGAACACGACTGAACACCACACCGTGACACCCCCACGCACCATTGCCGTGCCCCTGAAGCCAAAGGAAACCGGCGCCTCGGTAGAGGGAGCAGGTGAATGGGCTCCTGAGCATCTGGACACGCCAAGCTGCCTCGACATCTGATCAATAGGTTCTTTGATGGTGAGATATCTTATCCAATCTACCGCCTCAGCGACCAGGGCTGACATAAGATTAACAGACCCATAAAGTCCTCGGCCTTGAAGGTTCTAGGGGCTGGCCACGAGGGTGGTATTTTCGTTGACCGATTTTACCTATCCAAATACCTCACTCACATTTGTCTTGGGGGCAAGTTTTCACGCACTGAAGGGCGCCTATGATCACAGGGCATTCAGCCCAAGGCTCGATCAGATTGCGCAACATACCCATACCCCCCCTTTGATACGTACCTTAATTTAATGAAATTCAATGTGAATATTCTCGTGGTCTTGAGTGTTCACAGGCTGTGATGGAGATTTTGACCGCTCTGAAGCTCATCGCATGTGGTCAGGATCGCGAAGGTCCTTACTCAGGCAATCCCCACGGGGCAAGAGGACCCCACACTCGCCGCCTAATTTACCTTAGGTGGTCAGGTGTTAGCCCGACAGCTAGGGTTACGGGCCGCAATCGCTGGTTGCTCGCCAGAAAAATGATAAAGCATCGAACCACAGGAGTCAGGCGTCCAGAATCCAGGCGAGCCCTCGCCCCTCTCTGCGCCGACCACGTTGAAGGCTTTTGCTCGTTGGCTGTCCTGGCTGCGAACTGCATGCATCCGAAAGGAATTCATTGCACGCTGACCCATGAGCAACTCGAAACACACACACCGGGCCAAGCACACGGAGAAGCAGGTCGTGTGCCATTCGATGGGAGGGCAGCCTCGGCTTATGGCGAACTGCCCGCTGCTTCCACACCGCCCGCAGGCTGTCTCATGGGCATTTGCAGTGCCGCCCTCCCCCTTGCACCTAAGTATGTAGGTACCCTGCAACTCATGCTACCTTGGGTACACTGACAGGCGAAATAGTGGTGTGGTCCCCACGTTACTCTGAAGAAACATCTGACATCTGACAAGCTGACAACGGGCCAGAAACTTGGATAGCCCGAGAAGAGGGGTCCCTCCGTTCCACGCTTCGTGCGAATTCCCTTTTCATCCCCAAGTCAATCGTCTTCCAGGTCAGCTTGGCTTTACCCCTGCCTGAGTTCAGGTACTTGAGGTACCTGCCCCCAGATGTTATAACGTACATTACCAGCGATCCAGTAACGGGGGTCAACCCAGCCCCAGCGACCGCTCGACTTACGACTCAGCCGCAAGCCCTGGGTCTCCTGCTGGCTGCACCTAGCTACCTACTTAGGTGGACTAGGTACCTAAGGTGGCGTGCATCGCGCTGCCACAGGCAGTCTGCTTTCCTCTTTTCCCCTTGAAACAGGGACGACGCAAATGGCCACGCCGCAGCCTACACCGACAGTCGGACGATCCATCTTACTATGTGTATTCTGGTTAGTAAAGGTTGCGACACGATGTGGGGGACCAAAACTGCTCGGGGGGAAAGCCTGGTAGCACAAATGGATGTCATCCCCGCCCATTTCAGGCTTCGAGCGGGGGACCAGGGATGGTATGCTGTGGTACACGACGTTCGAAGCCTGCTGCAGGTGAAAGCTGCTGAGAAGAAGGGGAAGAAGAGGAAGAGGACATTGCATCAGAAAAAGAAAAACGTCGTTGCTTATTATTGTGATCGGCCATAACCTTAGGTGAAGCTGACGATGTGTCAGAATCGTATGACAGAATCGTATGATCTATGTCTACGTTCTAAAGGCTTGCACAGAGCAAGCCGTGGGAACTCTTCTCGAAGGCGATAAGAGATGTACCCAAATTGTTGATGATTGTCTCAAGGCCTTGCTGCCTGAACGCCAGCTCTAATGTCAGCCCTGGTCTCCGTCAGTGAATTATTGAGAACATGAAGCAAGATTTCATCTAGGCATGTCGTGTCACACACCATCATTCGTGCCCGAGTGCGGAAACTGCCGCCTCCGAGGTAATATTCCATTTCTGAATCAAGATGGTGGCTTGTCATCGTAGGGTGGGATGACTCAAACGCGTTTCTTTTGCGGTAACAAGCCAACTGTTGAACCAATATTCGGGAATCCTGTGTTTAGGATGGTGATATCTGGGATATCTGGGGATCCACAGCTCTCAGGAGCACGTGAACCACGGCTTACGTGATCGCTGAAGAAGACGGGTATATCTGACTCACGTAGGTAGCGGTAACTCAGAGAAGCAGAGAATTAAGAATCAACCATCACAAGCCTTATATCAGATACCCTACCTATTCAGAGCTCGCAAGCACAGCGTAAGTACTGGATTGGGGTTCACATAAGCAGTGAAGCCCTCTCAACACCAACAGTGTATTGATGAGTCAATCCGTCATCGCCTCGCCAGATGTCACCAACGATATGGATGGGATCTATTTTCGCCCAATTAGGCTTTTTCAGCGTATTTCTTTTTACTTCCTGTCGGCAACGTTCAACATTTGAACACGCTTCAAACGAAGTACTTACATTCCTAAGAAATGTTGCGTTGTACTTTTGCTATGGGGTCTAAGGGGGAACAAAAAGCATGTATTTCTCGTATTCGCTACTTCGTACTTTTTTTTGAGCGCAATGCATGGTCTTGAAAAAATTCCCTTTCAACGCGTGTCGTGGCTTGAGATTTCCGATGTGTTTCAGCAGAAGCCATATGAGGGGTTGGTAGAAGCCGCTAATCTTGGGTAGGTACTTGCAGATCGTTCCAGAAGCGCCATGCGGGTATAGAATCATCATCTCACACTGTATTCTAGCGAGACATCAGGCAACGCAAGGTACCACCTCAGGAAGACAAGGCCACCTCGCAAACGGCAAGAAAACGGAGTTTTGGATCTCCCCCGACGCTATGGACCTGAACTACACTAGGTACCTTAGATGCCTTCAGATAAGGTATCCGGCCAGCGTGAGAGCTCGTGCCCCAACTTCCCCGTTGCATGCAAAGCACCGAGCAGTCGTGCCCAGTATCCGGAAGACGTATCGGCGCACTTCGTCGTGTTTGGAACGATGGAGCCAATGAAGACTAAGGTAGGAGGCAGAAATTAGGGCTGAGCCACCTCGAACACCCAGCGGGATCAACATGCCGTCAGCAAAAATGTTTGCTTTTTCTTTATGATCGGTGAGATGCTGCCCGGCTATCGAAGTTCCTGTGTGCCACCAGAAGAAATCGGATAGTGACCCACAAAATCCATCGCCTGGCAATCAGTTGATCACTGCGACATTCCCGACCTGACATGTCTGTCATACGGAGCACATGGGATCACACAAGACAAGCAACTGCATCTCTCCGACTTCACGTTGACGCATGAGGACAAGGAAAGGAGCCAGGAAACCAGCATATTTGACGTCCATTTAGACTTCGGCGCGACCAGAAATAGAGGATACCCTAACCTGCGCTATGATGCACCCCTGACCCTCCACATCGTCCCGGCCCCTGTCACTTTCCGGGCCGTGGTGGAGCCATGCCGACTCGACATGTCCTCAGGGGGTCAAGTTACAACCCAAGTCTGCGTTGCAACGGCCCAGGCAGGTTTCCAAGTTGCCGCGGCTGAAGAAACAGTCGTCGCGGCAAAGTTGACACTGCATCGACTGTCAGCTCGTGTACTCCATCCGGCTAATGCTTTCCGTACGGTTATGTCTTGGCGTGCTTCGATCACAGAGGGAGCGGCGAAAGCCACGCTCGCGAACAGTGCCACGATGACTGCGGATAACTGCATGATGGTCGGTTTGTTGGGTTGAGCAAAAGTCCGCGTAACTCAAATGCTCAAGAAATGTATAAATTCGAGTGAGAGGTGCCAGCAGCCCCGATGCGAAGGAGATTTGAATGGAAGTAGTGAGCAGGAGAGGGCCGGACAAGTCGACGGGACATTCAGCACCCTTAAGTACTCGCCTTGAAGCCATTTTTGCTGTGCAGACGGTGAGCTGGGCTGTCCATCATGCTGACTCGTTTTCTTGCAGCCCTGACTCGACCTCTTACACCAGAGACTGGACCACGTCTGGGCAGGCAAATGTCAAAGCACGCACCACATCTAGTATGCTGTCAGTTTTCCCCTTTGCAGCTATTTCGAGACAGTTGCCATCTCTTTAATATTCGACGTCTTCCTGAAGAGACTCAATGGACGAAGTATGGAGCTGGCTTGGGTAAAGTCTGCAGTGCATCGACACGTACCTACACTGTACATCCCTGTGGTCGTAAGCATTGGGCATGTTTCACGTAGAATGTGAACAGCCGCGGATTGCAATCGTGCCGTCCCGAGGCCGGCAACAACGTGTGAGGTGAAACGTTCCGTACCCTACTGCGTTCCTCGTGAGCTATGCGCCATGACAGCCCCCTGTAGTGTCTTTGGTGAGGCCCGAGTGCCGATACCCACCAAGGAGCTTGGGCCGTTCACCAAAGCACTGTCCGACGAAGAATAAATCAATTACCAGTTTCAGAGGTGGACTGGCACGGCAGACCAGGTGTCAACATTGGCGGAGCTGAGGATACTCATTGAATTGGGGAGCTGGGGCCTTGTTCGTCTTTGTTTGTCACACAATGGGAGTTTTTCTTTTTTTCTTCTTCCTTTTTTTTCCGACCATTGATCGGCCCACGGGTGGTGCTCTCATTTAGGGCGTGCATGTGCCGGACTGACGGGTCCTAAGGCTGGCCAAGTTGGCTTCCAACAGCCGCGGGGCACGGCTTGGCTGGTTCCACAGAAGTGCGGGGTCATCCGTGTCGACCTCCACAGACCAGCGTTTACGTCATGTACCTAGCAGGTACTTGTGCAGCGCAGTAGAGCGCAGTAGAGCCTGCCACATGGCGCTGATCGTGTGAGCTTTGAGGCACAGACGCTGAGAGCAACCACTACCACATGGGTCGGGCCTACCCTTCCCTGCATGGAGGTCTACTCGCGCAGTAGCACACACATCGTACCGGCAGCAGGAACCAAGGGTCTTGGCCTACCAACATTAATCCCACCTGCCTAACGGGTAGGACGGTGGGAAAGGGCGTTTCGACAGGTCACGCTACCATAGGTACCTACCTCCACCAAGGTAAGGTACTGTTCCCCTGATCTACTCGTGTCCATGACACCGTGTACCCACTGCAGTATGAACTGCTTCTATCAAGGCAGGAATCTTGATAGAGGCAGAAAGCCTTCATTCCGCACACCTGTAGTCTATCACTATGCCGCCTCATCTGCAGCTTCGTATGTTTCGCCTCTGCACCCACAGCATGACCACCATAGTACATGCAATCGAACGGCGGCTGCATGTTCGACTGTCACAAGCAATAACTGACCCAAGTGCTGACATTCGGTACCTACCTTAAGTACCTTACCTACCTACCTACCTTAGGTACCGTAGGTAAGGTAAGGTACCTACCTAAGGTCAGGTACCTTACTTTAGGTCGGCAGTGAAGCCAAAACCCCTCATAGATGAGCTTGATCACTACCAGCCATTGATATGGGCTTCGCACCTCGATCCAGCAGGCTTGAGTTTGATGCTGCATTGTGAGAACTGATTTCGCTCCAGACCGGCAGCTCGGGTTAACGACTTTCTTGCCGCACACCCTTGGCCATATGCGCGCATGCACAATTGCTTTCGCTGCTTTCGCAAGAGTGATCAGCCCTCCATTTGGCCATTCAACTGTAACCCATCATCACCATCACCAATGGCTGTCGCAAACCCACGGCTGGACTGGCGGTGTAAGAGGAAGTGGGCAGGCCCGTCATCCCGACCGTCGCCAACACCTGCTCTTTAGCGGCATCATGGCAAGGCCGTTTCGCCCGTTTTGCTGGATTCTGCCCAATACCACCTATCCACGAGGACAAGCGCAGGCCTCCAAATGTGAAAGACTGCGAGGTTCAGTGCACACTGCCGGCATAAGGCGGGCTTGGAGGGGGGTTATTTTCAAGCGGCCGCCATTGGACGTCGCGTTGTGACCGGTCGTTCTGCCCAACTGCGTGCCATATCTCTTCCTTGTCGTCGGAGGCTGATGGGGGGAGGACGTGGTCGACAGACATGGAATCAGGGGTGTGGACGCATCCGCGCCTTTCTCATTTCTGGGTGCCTATGTGATAGTTCTGGGATTTGAGGCTCTTCAAACTGGGTTCTTGCGTTTTCGTCTTGCCCAAGCTCTCAACACGGTTGGATGTTTCTGGGTATAAGTACCACGGCTCGTCGCTGTTTGGTCATATATTCCTAGACCGCCATTGAAGTTTTCATCCCCTAAAGTGACTCGGGGAACAGTTGTGTCACATGCCTACGCTTCGAGCAGCGCTTTTTCACCTTCGCTCGACTGACTCCGACGCAACCCGCCATAACGCGCTATAAGCTCTATACTCGTTTTCAACACAAAAATGGCAAGCCGCGACAATCCCACGTCCACCCAGGACTCGGCATCAGCCGGTATGTCCACCTCGCAGTCCACCTTCATCACCCAGCAGCAACAACCCATCACAACCAGCCGCACCTCCCCATCTCCCAGTCAATCCGCCATTCTCTTTCCACCAGTTCTCTGGAACGACGGCACGCAACCTGAGAATGATATCGCGACCGCAGACTCTCTTCCCACCACCGGCGAGTCATTCGTGGCACGAGCTAATCTTGCCCCCATGGTCGCTGGCATCGGGGGCTGGGCAGATCCAGACCTGGGAAGATTGAGTGATCTCAATATCGACATTGAGAAGGAGGTGCACAAGTATGAAATCACCTTTGGTCTAGTATGCTAAGATTGCGACGCTGACGCGCTGGGAACAGAGGTGATGAGACCAAATAGAGTCGGGTCTGAGTACAGCACGCGATGGGCGCGTTGCACCACAGATTTCGAACTTGACGGCCAGTCTAAAAGTGGTACTGGAGGGGATGGGGACCCAGAAGCTGGGTGGGAGGCCTGACTTGGGCGCAAGCAAGTAATTCCCGCTCGGCAATAGAAGCTTGTCGGTGTGCGTGGGCGTCTGATGTTCGATATGTACGCTTGTAACACGACATGTATACGCATTGGTCCTCGGGATAGGTAAATTAGAATTGAATGGATCAGGTTGACAGACCAACCGCTCGTTTTCATGCATGCACGTCTGCTGAAGAAATGTGTTGAAAAAGCAATAGCGGTGAGAAATGATACAGTCTGCTTTTGCAGGCTGAGATGCCCTCTTCAGAGTACCTACATCTCTGGGCATACGACCTGTCATGCTGAAGGGGGGGGCGGGCGGGGGGAGTAACAATACCCCTTCTTCAGCGCCACGTTTTGGTTCGCGTCGGTTGCCTCAATCTCACCAGACATGCGGCCCCATGCTGAGCGTCAAATGTTGCTCACATGTCCATTTATTGAGGTGGCCGACAGAGCGAAGATGTCGGGAAGCCGTGTTGGCCGGCCTGTACATGGCTATTATCCTTCGGCTAAGATTAGGCGGCGTATCGCCACACCGCCTACAAATCTTTCAGGTCGACTCTCCGCTTCGGTCAGCAAAAGGGGGAATGCGGGTCACTTGACTTTTCACTTCGGCAAGATGAATCATGCTGGCGATCGTCGCGTTGGGCCGCTACGAGCTAAGCTCGACCTGAGGATGAAGAGACAGAGAGAAGGGGGGTTCAAATAAGGGCATGTGTACTGCTGTTGGCACGGCATGGGCCTGGGGAACGAAGATCCTTCGCTGTCAGGGGCAAGACTCGGATCATGCTCCGGAGGACTAAGTCCGGTCATGGCTCCCACTGTTCTTCTGCTGTTTGGCTCGCGGACCAATTCTTGGCCAAAATCCGATGCGTTGTCTTGTGATAGACCCATGTACTGCGATTTTGGCGTTGAACAAGCTAAGTTTGCTGTTCGGAGTGCCACGAGACCTGATGGGGGCAGGAAATATGTTGTCCATACCTACCTTGGGTACCTAAGTAGGTAGGTAGGGCCGGGGCGTGTACTGAGGCGGGCGATCAGCTCGATGCACGCCGTGACGGCTTCTTTTCTCCTCCTCTAGGTACCTAGTTGCGGCTGCTTCAAGGCCGTTGGTGGTCAATCATTGCGTAAAAAGGATTCTCGGTTCTTCCGGCCGCTGATTGGGAGCCTCGGCCAATCTGAATGTCTGAGAAGATATCGTTTATTGGAAAGGTCGGTGTGCGCAATCAAGGGTTGGAGTCGTGAGGCATTGACGGCGGGACAACCCAATTGTGTTATTTCAGCGGTTGGTTTTCCGGGGAGCAGCCCTTGTTCCAGCACTCTGTCCTCACTTCTGCATCACGCGGACATGTCCTAACAGTCTTGTGACGGCTTCTGCGCCTATGGTCAATGACGGTCAGCATAGAAATGAGGAATGAATTTCCTTAAGGCCTAGGAATGCAATACAGCTTCTCTTGCAGCTTCCGGCGTACGCTTTCTTGTCACGTCTGGCCTGGTCAGGCAAGTTTTCCGTGCCTTGTCAAGGTATTTTTGTCGATTTTTGTCGAAGGGGTGTGTGCTGAGCGCACAATCGCGTCTGTGTATGTGTGCGCCGCCTTGGCTCCTTGGGCAAACCCTCCAACAGTGGCTGAGCAAACTGACAGCTGAAATGGTGGTTTGCGCCAGAACCCCCATTTGTGAGCCATGGTGCATTCGTCGCCTTTTCTTGACTTTCGGAATTGAAGGAACGTATAAGAACGGTTGATGAAAACCAAAATCCAAGCTTGAAGCCCTAAATCCGGCCACTATAACGTTTTCTCACACGTGAGCCCAGGGCTACCGAACACCTGCAGTACCGGCAGAGAGTAGTGGCTGTGAGCGGCAGGTTACTGGCCAGCGAGAGCGGTGACGGTCAGAGCCCGGCCACTAGGAAGAAGTCGCCTTTCCAAATGGAACTCTGCAAGGTTCTACCGACCTTACCACCGGGTTGGGAAGGATGCTCCTTCACCACTGATATTTCAAGAAACAGGAGTGATGGTGTCCCAAGTCTAGGCACCCCATCCTTGTCGTGCATACGTGCACTGCCTGCCGTATGCAATGCATCTTCCGTTCGGTACAGCAACATAGAGCTAATCGACCAATACGTAGGTGCCTAATATGTGGATGTATGAAGGCAGGTGACCTGGCAGGGGTGGTCCTGAAGGCAAGGTTCAGCCCGCATCCGCGTAACAGAGAGTGAGCCGTTTTAAAGGAGCTAGCAACTTATCGATTAGGGAATATGAAGCAGCATCGTGCGTTGTCTGTAACACCAACACATCCGGACGAAAGGAGAAATTGATATCCATCGGCGAGGTTGCTCTGGTTGCTCTTGAGAATGGCTGCTTTAAGGTAAATAAAGAGTAAGTCCCGGAAGCCTGAACAATCCTCTGGTCCCTTAAGCTGCAAGACCAACTGATTACCCGACAGGAGCCGGCCTCCTAGACCGTGAGAAGGTTTGATATTTCTTCTCAGAGCAAATCTTATCTTGACCGCCTTCGCCTTCAAAGACGCTAGCAAGCCTCACAGCCAGTCCGAGTTTCTGTTTCCCGCTGCCGTTTTTTCAGCACAGCGGAGTACTTTCACCCCCACCAATAACAATTTGATCTCTCGCTCACTTGGTGATACTCCAAGTCTGACTTGCCCAGGAGGTTTACTTTCCGGCATGGGACACCTCGATGCTCAAGTCCACGCCTACAGCTCCAAAGAATTTGATTAAGAGCAAGATCTCAACGTTAAGGCACCCACAGCGCGTTCTCCAGACACAAAATCAACACGACCAACACACGGAGCCCTACCTTCAAACCTGGCGACCGTGTAGTGGCACTGAAGAAGAGCGGATAGTGGGATCACGTATGCGACAGGAGGGGGCGGCGAGGTCTGAAAGCTGATGCAGAGTGAGACTGGTGGCGCCCAATGGTACGAGAAGATCGTCATTGCGTCTGAGGAAGACGGAAATCAGCGCTGTCGACACATAAAACATCGAGGCTCACCAGCCAGAAGGAGGCGACATGGAGCTCCTTGGGAAGCGGGTCAATTCTCTTACCAAAGATGGGCGTATTGAATCGGTAGGCTGGGCTGAATGTCAGAAACATGATGAAATATCAAGTCAGTTAATCGGATGGGTGATAATTCCACGGCATACTCACCTTGTGGAAAAATAGCTACTAAAAATGACACGTCGAAGTGCGGGCGTTAGCCGACCTAGGTGGCTCTCCCGTCGCGGCGGTAATTCAGTGACCTCCGGTTTTAAGTCTGTCCTTGTTACTTTCCCATCAAATCTTACCTCTAGAATCTTGTTCTTGTTCTTTATTTTCCTGTGCTTCAGCTTGATGTGGCTTTAGGGACCCAAAAAGAGTCGAACCCCCGAGGCCCGGTACCGCCGTGTCTGTGGTCGTGGCCTATCCCATTAGTACTTGCCGTTTCCCCTTTCGCTCACCGAGCTGTGGTCTAAAGGGCCTAAGCAGCAGCAGAAGCCAATAGCTGGAGGCGAGTATGGTCCTGTAGATGGGTCTTCAACGAGTTTGCTTGCGCGGCCAGGGGGTAGCACCACAGGATATGCATGCTTTTTAGTTCAGGGTGTGGGACGGCCAAGTGAGAGGTTATTGAAGGACAGTGAGGCTTACGTTCTAGCTCGATCGGGTGGACATGGACATTTCTTGACAATCGTCGGGCGCAGGCCCTCTGATGTGAAGTATGATAGATCATTGGATATGGGACAACGTTACCTGCAACGTAGTCTCAAAGACCGTGGTTTGGCAAGGTGTCTTGCCCCAAAGCTAGAACCTACCAAAGTATCCAGTTTGGCCACAAAGTGTTCCGCAGCTAGATGTCAAAACGGTGCTCGGAAGCTCTACTCGATCGCATCTCTCTTTCTCAATGCCGCTGACTGCCTGGTGAGGGAGGGATCAAGCCCGTCGTCATGGGCTCTTTGTATCCGTATGGAGGTGGAAGCCGTCGAGCATGGTGTATTGCGGCCCTCATTTGCCTCCAGGGCAGCTGACATTCTGTTTGAGGAGGCTTTCCGGCGTTAAACCCTTTCCAGGTCCGTCAAAAGAGCTTTGGAGGGCACGCTGGAGTTTCGTGATTCAGTTGGTCTTCTACAGCGTCTATTATTGTGAAGGACCATGTAAAACTCTCATTTGGGTAGATCACAGTCAGCAAGTCATCTGTCAACGAAGAAAAAGGGCATTGGGGGGCAGACGTTGATAATTGAGGTTTATTGGGCATCCTGCGACCATGCCCTGTATCGTCGGCCCGAGCGGATGCTGGCCTCCTTCTTTCGCTTCAGTGGCCTGCGGATGTTTTAATGATCTATTCATCATTAACCAGAACTTTCGGGATGCATTTGGTGTTGACAAGTTCTTTCGGGGAGTCACCGACGACTGTGTCATGAAGGCTGTGCCATGAAAGGGCACACTTCGTCAACGTGAGACTCAAGGAGAAGAAAGTCCAGTGTCCCGGTCTATCGAGAGACTAGATTTGAGATTATATCGAAACCGGGGGCCAGGTTACAAGATTCGAACGTCAAGGACATCGGATTCTCAGACCTTGAGCCATCAGCGGATACGTTGCTCTTAACAACGGAGAACTTGAGGCAACTACTGGCGTTGCAACTACTGTTGAGGCTGCCATGTTCTACTTGAGACCTACGTATCTAAATTTCGTCATCCATGGTGTACTGGTTAGGAACCTTCTGTCTTGCAGACGCAAGGTCGTCAGTTTGGTCAGGCTGTATTGGGCAGCTTTTTGGCGTGACCATACAGGCCTGACAAGCCACGTCGACAATCTGCGACGTGGCGAGCATTGGTTCAGCTGCACGAGCTTCGGAAGTGCTATCGACGAGAAACCTGGTGCCTCGTTATTTGTTCGCTCATTAGAGCCTTCAGTTTCCTTGTGGCTGTCGTGCTGTACGTCGGTGTTGTGCCCACCCTCGAAGCCCAGCACGGAAGCCTGGTAAATCATCTTTAGCAGATTGCCTCTGGACCATCCATAGGCTGGCATTCCGAGTCAGGCCCTCCACACCAGAATTCTCGGGCGTCCCCGAGAATAGGGCTCAGCTCTCCGAAGGTCCAAGTATGACGCCAGAATCGTAAGTCGAGGCGAGAGTGAGCATGAAGCAAGTTTTGTAGTCAAGTTACGAAATGGATATCTAGCCGGCCTATACTACCAAGGTCAGCATCTATACGCCCCGCCCTCTGGCCAAGCCCCCTTATCCCCTACCCTGACGCGAACGCGACTGTCCTTTGCCGCACCAAAGCATTTACATGAATTATCCTAGTAATCAAATTCCATCCATAGAGGGCATACCTGTCGGCAGCCCGACTTCTATCTCGTTCATTATGGTCTCATCTGTAGCAATGCTCGTCATGACTTCTTCGGAACTGTACCCAGTCCAGTATCCAGGATTGATCTGTGAGGCCTTCTTCGCGCGGTAAATCTCCTGCGCCACGCCCCTGACCTGCCCTAAGGCTGTATCGGCTGCTCTCCAAACAGGGGAAAGCTCGCTGAGCGCACCAATATTGAGCCGCAACTGCTGACGCAGCTCGTCGTCGTCATGAGGGATGTAAATGAGGGCCCATCGGCAGAGATGAACGATGGACGAAAGTGTGATAACACAGGTGAAAAAGTGAGTGTGCGATAACAGTGGGACACGGTGGGTGATCATCCTGCTGATTTCGGCGGCTGAAGCTACAGTATGGTTCGTGTGGGCATTAAAATAATCGCCCGACGGCACCGGGCGATGGGGCGCACAAGACGTGACGGAACGGGTCGGAGACGAGTCGAGCTGGGAGTGCGGCTGGTGCAGCATGATAGACGTCCTACCAAAACAACTGATCAGCAACAACTCTGCAATTCCTAACGAGAGACTACTTACGCATGTGTCATCATGCTAGCCTGGAAGATCATCTCATCAGACTGCAACTTCTGGCTGAGCGCATCGCGCTTGGCAGGCGGTAGGTGCATCCTCCAATTTGTCAACAACGCCTCTATGCGGGCCAAATTCTCATCCTCCGGTCCAAAGATGGGCGGGACACGCATGAATTTCCCTAGGTTGCGACCCGCGGCAATGCGGTAAGAGAAAGAAGAAAATTCGCGTGTCTCGCCTGAAAACTCACGGTCTTCAAGGTCTTCGAGATACATGGGCTGCGGGATATTCTGAATACAACTGTAAGCAACGCTGGCAGGATGAGCGAGATTGTGCTTTTTCTACTTACGCCAGACAAGAACTGATGCTCCTCGCAAGGCAGGCCAACGTCGGCAGGGACGTCGAACAGCAGGAAATTCGTCTGCCGATGTACGCCAGCCACCATGCCATCTACGACGTACAAATCCCACCAGGTTCTCCGCCAGCTTTCTTCCAATATCGGTATTCCGCGCCCGTGCACGGTGGCGTATGCGCGGGTGTTGAGCTCAATCTCGAGAGCGATGCGCTCGGCATCAGCAAGCAGCTGCCGAGCCTTCTCCTGCTGGCAGCTGCCGTCGGTGCCTACGATGAGGAGCGTGAGTGCCTGGACAAGGAAACCATCCTTCTTCGTTGAAGGATCTTGCACGAGACGAATGGCTTCGTCGAAGAAGGCCGCGCGGGCTGGCCCAACATCGACAAAGAGGGATCCCACCCAGCGCATGGCAGCCAGGAGGGGCTCGATATCCGCATCGCCAAGAACGCGGAACAGCCATGCCTTTGGCAAGACGAAGGGGTGACCAGCATGAAAATGTCGATAAAACGAGTCGAGGCAACGCTCGGCGGGGGTTTGGGCAGGTCCCTGCGTCGGGATTAGGCCGCCATGGTGGCTCAGGCTCAGCTGGTTCGATTGATAGCCATTAGGGTTACCGAAGGGCCGGTAGAGCTGCAGGTTGTGGATATCGCTGAGATGCGGCGTGGCTGCATATGCCGCTTGAGGCGTGTTGGGCAATACCGGACCGCCAAGAGCGTAGGGGGCCATGGAGACCGGCATGGCAGCGGAGGTAGTTGCTCCCAGCAGCATGGGACAGCTGTCGCCAATGCTAACGGTGGAGGTGGGCGGTGACGAGGATCGAGCTCGTTTGTTCGGGTTGGCGGCGGTGCCTCGTCGCGGTCCCTTGTAGCCGCGGCGGGACGCGACGTAAACGCATTCCGACTCGGACGCTCTGCAGCGACCGCAAGGGTTCTGCCCGTCGCACTTGAGATGCTTGCTCCGCTGCAGTCATCAGGTCAGTCAGGACGAGTACGGAGACGTAGCAGGGGTGGTGGTAGTTGGGACGCGGGGTTCTAGCGTAAGCCGGAGTCGCAAGGCAAGGCCAAAAGCATGGTGATATGACTCTAAGAAAGGGGCATCTGGCATACGCAACCTAAACATGCTGCCGGGGTGGTCGGCGGTTGAGTCGGGCGGGCTTCACTGGTCGCCGAGGAGGTGGTGTTCGGTGAATCGCGGGAGGCAGGCGGTGTTGTGTCGGGCACCAAGATCGAGGGGTTCGGGGATCCATCACTCATGGATGCGGGATTCGAGAGTGGAACCTCGGGGTTCAGGACTGACATGGATTCCATCGTGAATGCACTCGTCGGGGATTGAAGATGATCTACCCTGTTCCAGATTCGGCACTCGACTGTCACAGGGCTGGCAATCGTGGGGAGTGAGTCTCGTCGTCAAGAGAATCGCGACAGTCGCCGTAGGTGCGCGCGCAGGAGAGAGTGGTTGAGCTAGGAGGAAAGAAGCAGAAGAAATTGAGGTGTTCCCGTCAAAGTGGAACGAATATGTGACGTGCGACGTACGCGCATGCCCTCAACGTTTCGCTTTGTAGTACGCACGTGCAAAACGGTCGTACTTGGTGTAATGCAGGCGCCGCGTCAATAGATGGGGAGTGCGTTGCTGGAGGGGTTGGGTCGAGGTTGGAGACCTTGTCGTTAAAGACGAGGACCGGAGATTTGCCCAAAGCCGTCTAGTTCGCTGGTTGGCTGAGAGAGGACCTCGAACAGCTCCCTTTTGCCAGGCGAAAGAAACAACAATTGGCAGATGAGGCTAACAAGAAAGTGATTACAGCGGAGGACACAAGAAGTGCAAGCTGTCGAGACGGTTGGACGGCCAAGGATTCAAGGAGGAACCTGGTGAGGAGTCGCCCTCGGTTGCGTGCGTTTCGGCGTAGCAGATTGATTGAAACCGAGTGCGAGTGGATTGGATCGGTGTCCAGGGTCGTACTGGGAATGTGGTTCGGTGCATTACCTAGGCAGCTAGGTAGGTATGTATTGGCGTGGATTTGATGGCGGCTGCATCCGATGACAAGCTCACCTTGCCGTGTGGCTACCGCGGAGAAAAGATAATATCCGCCGTCTTCTCACTTGGCCTCCCTTCCACAAGGCATGACGTCCGCGCACACAGTTGAGTACGATTGGAGGGGTAGGATGTTCGGATAGATGTGGGATTCCGGCAGACCTTGGCCCAGGCCATGTGATGCCCAGCCTCTCAGAGCTGTCTCGTACCGTATCCCCTTGGGTACCTAGGTAGGGAAGGTAGGGTATGGCCGGTTCCAGAACCGAACCCAGAACCTGATTTTAGCTCGCTCCTGCGAGACATTCATGGCGTGTTTTGGGGGCATCTCGCGTGGCGTGCCTGTCTCCCAGCACACGAAGCGGACAAGGACTATTTGTGATAGACGCCGTCTCCGGCGCTTGTCCTCGACCGTTTCGGGTGGACGTGACAAGAATCCTGGTATCTTGGCTTGACTTCTGTTGGATATTCCCCCCCTTTTTTCGTCCCCGGGTGCCGGGCTGCCATGTGGTCCTTCGTCGTAGATTTCAGCTGTCAGGCCCACAGGGCGCTGATCTAACGAATGTGTTTCGTCTGTGCGATGGCGTGTGGGTGTCCTCCTTGCTTGGCAGAACGACACGTCAAACCGAGCTGGCATGATTTATGAGGGTTGGAGGCCCTCGATTGTTTTTGTAAGGAAGACAAGGCTTCCTCCTTCCCACCGGTCGAGAGACATCTGTGGGGAGCTCAAGGTACAATACGCATTTGAGTACCTTCCTACCCTAGCACCTACTTAGGTAGGGAGGTACCTAGGTACCGTACCTGCCCAGGTAATGGAAGGGAAAGAAGCACCAAGCGATGCTCATTAAGGTAAGGTACCTTACTCAGCGGTGCCTCACACATTCCAGTCACCCGTCACTACCTTAGGTACCCCAGTCGAACGCGCATCTCTTGTCAATTCCACTTTATCACCAAGCTTCATCCCTCGGTGGTCCTCTTGTCGCTATTCTTGAGGTCGAATCTGTCGACTACTGCGATTAGAACCGTTACTCATCATACCCAATACTTGTGAGCGCGATAATAGTACATCCTATCGGACCGAGCGCCCATCTGGGCCATTCGACCTTGAATGCCACTCCCATTGCAATCACCTTCTGATACTGGCTAGGGCACTGCCCCTTGAACACAAATGCCGCGGAAACCCGCCTCCGGGCATCCGTCAAAAGGGACATCAATTAAACCTAAGTATATGCGCTGCATCACGCACGGGTCGCGTGCTCCGTCAAGAAATTCCATAATAGTCGTCGTGGTGACTGGAACACCCCTCAGACTCTGAATTCCATCTCGAGGCGAGGCATTGTACTAAAAGCACTTTTCTGGCCGCAGCTCAAGGCCCATCCTGAAAGAGAACCGGCGATAATCCCACCCACTGCCAAATATATCAGCCAAATTTACTCCACTGGAGGTTACGCGGAAACTCACCTGACTTTGGAGCCGAACAGACGAGGCACGATGCCAAAAACCGGGAGAGGATCGCCAGTGAAGTATCGCAAACGGCCTTACAGCTGCACAAATCCGTCTTCTGCCTAGAAGCTGCCTTCCATCCCGTAGCATTTCTAAGCCAGACCGTACCATCCCAAGATCAACCATCGTCTACCAAAACACAAAGGCGTTGTTTTCCTCTTTATCAGATTCGTAGCCGTGGGTGCCCGAAGGACCGGCCTCTGACTCTCCAGGACGAGGAGCCTCGCGTCGCGGAGCACGAGAGCCGCGCTGGACGGAGCGCTCAGGCGAGGGAGCATAGAGAGTCTTGCCCCAGGAGACGCGGCGGGCTCCCTTGACGGGCGTCGTCTTGGCTTTTGCCTTCCCTTTGATGTCGACCTCGAGTCTGAGTTCAGGTCCAGTGGCCAACTCGCCGGCGCTGCTCTTGGCACCAACGGGGTTGCCTTTGCCTCTGTGATCGGGGTCGGTGTCGGCGAGGAAGGTGCGGAGCGAAATCATGTCGGCGTCGGAAGATCCCGACATGACTGGCATGTCGATGAGCTCCGTGACGTCGCCCACATCACCAAAGCCATCGTCCTCGTCCTCGTCCAGTTCGTCTCCCGTGTTTGCCTGTCGGCCTTTGGTGGCAGGCGAGGGCGGCAGGGCGATCACGGAGGCAGTGCGACGTTTCTTCCGAGAGATGAGAGCGGCGATCTCGGCGCGATGCTGCTTGATGTTTTTGTACAAGAGAACAACCATCAGGGACGTGATGACGAGCGAGATAGTGATCGGACCGATGAGCTTGGTGTTGATGCCGTGAATGACGTACTGGACGTTAGTTGAGTTGCTGTAGCTGTCGATGGGGATGCCGCCAACACTGCCCAAGACGAACAGGATGGCCATGATGTTCGGGATGATATGAGGATACATCTTGTCGTCGTCGACAGTGCGTGTTCAAACTTCTCTTCGGCTTTGTGAGCTTGGATATTGGATCTAGTCGGATGGTCTTGTGATCTCTGTTGCTATCTCATTTCTGTGAGGTTGCTCCTTTCGTGATCTTTGACGAGAGTCAGGTTCGGGGGCTGTCCCTACAAAGAGATTCGGGAAAGCTGCTTGCGAACGTAAGAAGAGGAACGACTGGGCTGGGAGGGCAACTGTAAATTCAGTAGGAAGGCTTTTGGTTTCTGGGGCGTGGGTCCGACGACTCAGCGAATACATATAACGACAAACCAGACGTGATCGTGAAAACCCCTTGGTGTTGAGCGGGCGACCTGCTATGGCCGCAACCCCTCCTCCGCCTTTCGTCGTCCCACTACAAAAAGGATTGGATGCATGCTATCTGGCGAGAGATATCGTTCGAGCCAAGGCACTTTTGTTCCGGCCCTTTCTTCCACTCAGGTATCAGACACGGTAAGGCTTGCCACAAGCATTCAGTCATACGTGTTCACCAGTATTTAGAAGTTCCTCGCACGAGGTCATTTTGCACTCCATCTGATTATCTAACACATTACAATGCCGTGACTGAAGACCCTCATGTCCCATAACCCAACGCCAAGACTAATAGACGACTGTGCGCCTTGGTGACCTTGCCCGTCTTTATACAGCCCGTACTCTTACATCCAAATCATTGACAAAAGGAAAAGGCCAATGAGGGACCCGGTCCTTTGAAAACCATGTTCATACACCAAACCAACATCCGATCCTCATATCCTGGAGCTTGGTCCTCTGCCATAGCCGTTTTTCTGGCTTTTCCAATCCCACTTCGCCTTGCCATCGTACTTCGTGAACTTGTTGCCCAGAGCGTCAGCCACGGTCAATGGTTCTTCTGTGGGAACCAAAATCGGATGAGAGCGATATGGCAGCACATCTCTGGCAGACTTCTTCGGCGCCTTGGTGGCGGCGGGCAGCGTCTTGCGCTGCTCCTTGAGAATTTCCCTGAGCTCATTCTCGTCGCTGGTGATCTGCGCTCTCAGGAACGAGAGATCTTTCGACGCCGGGTCCTCTAGCGTCTCCATAACGGGTACTCTCGGTGTGTAGACGATGTCGTCGAGCTTTGGTGCCAACGCTGGGTCTGGGACGATGGAGGGGTCAAGGCGCGCCTCGTCGCCCTTGGCAAGAAGGGCATTGATGTCGAGGCTCTCTCCGTGCGGGATGGCTGTGGCGTGGCTCGGCGTGATGCAGTCCATGTCAACCTCTTTCCGAAGAACGTGATCAATGTCAATGGCAGAAAAGTACGCGCACGATTGCGGGAGATCGTTGATGCCTACTTGCTGAGCAAACATGGCTCGCGTCCACACGTTGGCAACCTGGAGAGCCATGGCAGCCCGATACTTATCATCGTCCTTGACGAGGTACCGAATCTCGTCGTGCACGGTGATGGCCAGCCGAGCGTCGATGTTGAAGCGGCGGGTAAGGTAGTCCATGCTGACGATGAGCAAGTGCAGGTAGTCAACACCAGACGATTGAATGGCCCAATTGATGCGAGAAGTGAGATATCCACCCTTACTGATGAATCGGCCCATGAGGGCTTCGGTAATACCGGCGCCCAGGACCGGGGTTCGTGGGCGCTCCTGTTCTGCGAATTCTTCCAGCTTGTTGAAGACGAAGGACTCCGTTCCGCCACGCCAGAATGGCCTCTTGTGCAGGACTTTACGGTTCGTCTTGGTGCCTTTGGTATTGACGTAAAGTTTCGAGGCAGTCTCAAGTGTCTCCTTTTCCGACAGGTTTGGGTCAAATTGCCGAAGCAGTTGCGCCGCGAATTTCAGGCCAGCGCCGTAAATTCGACCATAGTTGAAGACCTTTGCGTCGTTTCGCGTGATGCCCAAGATCCCGGCCGTTCGAGAGTGAAGATCCGTACCTGCCGCTTTGGTTCCTTCTAGAGTCATGAAACCAATGGCGTTGCCCCCGTGCAGCTTGAAAGTCGCATCACCAACAAGACTTGCGATCCACAGCTCCTGGGAATCCACATCCGCTCCAACAAAGCTATAACCTGGTGGAGCTTTAACCATTGCCTTCAGCTCGGACCCGACACGGTTCTTTTTGGCATTGCTTGCCGTCAGCCACGTGTTTTCGACAGCTCTCCTTGTGATGGTCCCCATGGGGATGATCTGCGGCAAGATAAATCCTTGCGTGTTCTTGTTCTTAATCCCTCCTTCCATTTCCTCATTGGCCACATCTTCCTCGTAAACCACCATCTGCGACTTGATGCGATCTCTTGCGCTGATCCAGTACGAACAGGAAGCGTTCATTTCCAAAGCTTCCTTGGCGTAGGAGTATTCTGATGACAGAGTACCGTTTTCAAAGTACGACAAGTAGGACTTGGCCATGGGGTTGGCACATCTCGCAGTGGGCCCATCCTTGTGGGGAAGCTTGAAGTACACGCCCTCCGTATCTTGTCGAAGAGCCTCAACCTTCTCATCTGCCATGTCGCACTGGATCATTTGCTTGTTGAGATAATTGCTCGCCTCAGTTCGCGATACACGGAAGGTCCAGCCATACGTGTCGGACCAACAAAGAGGATGTCCGTCCCAGGCTAACCTCAGGAGAAGGGGAGCGATCCGCGTCCTGACAGTTAAGCCGATAGGGGCGTCGTTCTTGGCGAAGAGATCCTTATACCATCGGGGCATTCCTGGCTTCTTCTGCCGTGCAGCAGGTCGTGGCGGATCGTTCTTCTTCTTGCCCTTGACCATCTTGATCTCCTGGCCAGACCAGTCGAGTTGATTAAGCCACGGATCGTTACTCCACGTCTCTGACTGATCCCTGATCGCCACAGCCTTTTCTGCCAATGCCAACAGTCGTTCGAGAACCGCATCGTTGAGTTTATGATATGTTGCTTCGGCGTTGGCTATGTACGCATTCCAGGTCTCGTTGACAGGCAGGATGACTGACGAAAGATGTCGGAGAGCGGCGAAGCTGACGGGGTGAGGGCAAGTTTCAAGGAAATTCGGGAAGACAATCTGGTAGACTCGGTGGGTGATCGCAACATCTGCCGCGCAGTAGTCTAACAATTCGTCCAACTTTGCCAAGACGCCTGTCCGATCGAGGGTGCTGAAATCGTCCCTGATCGCCTTGTCGATCGTTACATCGAGGTGGAACTTGGCGACATCCCTTAGCGAGTTGACGGAACTTCGCTCAACCCAGAGCTCCTCTTCTTCTTGTCGGATGGCACTGTTGCTCAAAAGCTCAGCCAGTTGCGCATCATCGGTTTGCGTTGCGATGCGTTCCCGTAGTTCCCTGTTCTTCTTGTGCTTCATCCAGGTTGGTCGTTGCTGAGAACACATGCCGTTGACAGCCACATGTAAGGACATGGTGTCTAGGAATGCGTTTCTCGTCTGTCGCACTCCGTATTCTTCTAGTATCCTGGCGCGGTCGTATCCGATGTTATGTCCGACGATTACGCGCTCTTTCGAAGGATCGCCAAGTGGGATCAGGTGGCGGTCGTTGGTGGACTCGCCGAGCAACCATGGAGATAGCCAAGCATACCACGCATTCGGACTCGATGCGCATGCCATGACGGCAAACGAACTCTCTTTCCACAGAACTTCGGTATCAAAGCACAACATGGCGTCATCCGGCGCGTCGACGACCTCCGTCCTCCCATCAGGGTAGTATTTCGTCCAGCCACTCCGTCGCACCCATTTCCGCGGCTTGGGTGGCGAGCTGAAGCGAGAGAAATCTTTCGCATAGCTCAGATACGGTTCAGCGGCGTCGAGGCCTAGTTTGTGGAAATGTTCATCCAAAGTGCGCCCCTGAAGACTCGGCAGGTCAAAGGCTATCGGGTCGCTGTTGTCGGTGTTTTTCCCAAGAAGTTCATGCCTTCTCAAATGGTCTTTGGACATTTCGATTAAGTGTTTTGGCGGCGGAGTGTTGCCATCGGGAAAGATCTGACTATAAACATGGGAGCTCAGCTGCTGCACGCCGATCTCGTTGTATCTCGCTTGCGAAGAGACTTTCACTTGGTGTCAATAGTATGCTTTGCACGAGATGACAAATGACTTACTGGATAGACTATGTCCTGGATCAAGAGGGTCGGGCTTGGAGGAGGCAGCAGATTGCCATCGCGCATCGATACGTCGTTGCGGCCGACAGCTCGCATAGTGCTTTGCTAATTGTACATAACTGGCTGGCGAACCCCTTCGAAGGCGGCCATTCGCAAAGTGAAGCATCGTGTTACCGGTCGCTATTCGGCATGATATGGCGAGAGTTGAAAATATTTGTTCAAGGGTGATGGTCGACCATGGCATTGATATTGCAAGCCGTTCGCGGATGTCTGTCGAAAGCGAGATGCCGTCACCACTAGAGCGCGCCCTCGATAGGGGCGTAAAACGTGAACGATGGGACCAAGTGGGGAGTGGGACCCTGAAGGGTCTCGACAAGCTGGTCTGTGCGCAATGCTACATCTGCTCAACCCCACCAATCTCAGGCCCATGCGACCACGTGATCTAGCGCTCAAGGCTCGAGATGACCAAGTCGATGCTCAACACGACGCGCTTAATGAAGATTGCACTTCTCAGCAAAATCGTCACGTGGGTCAGATCGTTCTCTTGCACGAATGAACAGAGGATGTACTTGCAAGTGGTCATGACAAGAAATCTTCACGACCTTTTTTGCATGCGTCTTCTCGGATGCGTCGGTATGGGTGCGCTTGATGTAGAGAAATAATTAATCCATCTGACCAGGGATCACCAACCATGAGTATTCAGGAAATGATGCAGAACGAAGGACAGAGTACTTGATTTACTAGCTGTACTAGGCATCTGCGCTGCAAACGATTTGGCACTCCTGTAGATATTACTCTTTCTAGCTCCCTATACTACCTACTTTGCTACTTTCCTACCAATCTGCGCCGTGCCTAGGTGCCTTGCCTTACCTTCCTTAGGTACATTGACTATGTCTGGTCATGGCACTTCGATACTTGCCTCGCGATTCTCCCAGAAGCAACACCCTTTCTGCTACCGAGTAGCCAACTGCAACTCAGGGCTTCCGATAGGCAGGGCTTTGTCAGAGACCAACCCAAGACCGGCCAATGGAGACACTACCAAGGTGATCCCATCTCCTCATCATGATGTTGGTCTCGGATATGTGGCCGTATGTGTCTTTTTATACTGATGTGCTTCTAGGTCTTTCGCAGATACTTCACGGGTTTGTCAACCACCTTGGTCTCGCGTCGACATGTCGACCGTGCGCCCCCCCAGAACCCCCGATCTGATATTGCGGTCGCTGCCGGAGGAGTTGATCGTTGAAGTCATGTCGCAGCTACCTGCACCCGGGTTTCATCTTGCTAGCCTCAGTTGCAGGACTCTTCGGCGCATCAGCCAGACGGCGCGTTTCGATCCGTTGTATACGCTGAAGCAAAGCGGGGGATGTGAGGCTCGACCAAATCAGACACAAAGAAAGAAACCCAACATGACGCCTAATGAAGAGGCTCAACTATCAAGTCATTTACGGCCGCTCTTATACTGCGTCGATTGCATAGCGGCCCGCAACCGTTTCAGCTTCGCCAGGCGCCTGCACGCGCTACACGAAAAAGGATACTGCAGCAGATGCAATGAGACGCACCCGGCTATATTTTTCTCGGCAAGACAGCGACAAGTCCCGCAATGGAAGCGGATATGCATTGGATGGGAAGGTTGCTTGGTCTTTTGCTCTCACAAGCTCTCACTGGCTTGGGAAGATATCGATACGGTGGTGACAAACGCCGAGAAGGCCGACTATCATAAGACGCCCAAGGGCAGGAACGGCATCCGCGGCCGTTGGCATCACAGCTACACGTATGCTGAGCGAGGCTGTCGGGCCTGCAGCTACCCAAACGGTGGGTCGTATGTGGAGGGTAAAGACTACAGACATGCTGCTCGAGCCACTATCGCCTTTCGTGTCCAAGAAAAAACTCCCCAGATATGTTTCAGTTGGAAACAGACTGTTCAGGTTGCTGCTCTCTCATCCGCCAAAGAATTACAGCGTCTTCACCAGGACCCACCTACCGGGGATACGGCAAGGATCCAGGCTTTTGGAGCAGTCCTTGTGGCCGAAGGCAGGTCAAACATGGCAATTTGCCCACATCAGACCTTAGGTGGATGGAATGGCGACGGCCAGTGCAGCGTCTGTTCCTGGAGATTGTACATGGCCGGCTCGGAGCCATGCGGCGAAGTCAATGTCGTCCGCAGGCTCCGGGTAGATAGTCCATGTGATTACGGTTGGATTGCGTCGCTTGATCCTGCATCGTAGGGCATGCAAGAAGATCAGGTGACCCGCAATATTCTCTGGTGTCCGAATGAGAGCCGATGTGCTACAGCGAGGGGCTGGCAATTGTTCCGAAAGTCCACCAGGCGAAGAACTTCACTGTTTCATGGGACTTGGGGCGGGCCTCGCGGGTAGCCCCCCTAAGTTTGCAGAATTCAAAGCGGTGGACAACCACTGCGGACGTGGTGCAGAAGCTGCTTGAAGGAAGAGGAGAGCCTTTGCTGTGGCCATATCGAGGCGGTTGAGCTTTTGAATTGCGACGACAAATTCTGCTGAGCCTTTCTAGACGCTGGCTGGTAGGGCTGAAAGGGGGTGAAAGCACCTTTGGGGATGTATCTTGAGCGCTTTGAGGAGGAGGCTGGCGAGGAGGAGGGCTATGTCAATTCCGCACCTTACGGACTCCCAATTCGCTTTCGGGAGAAGCGAGCAAGAGATTGAAAGGATTAGCATCTCAACTTGAATTCTTGTGTTGTGTCCAGGCAAGATCCACGACCACGTCTTTCCAATTGTTTGGCAGGAGACGCCTTACGTCACACGAAATCCCCACAAAGCAACATGCCGCCCCCGAAGACTGCAGGCACTCTTAGCGCACCCATGGTCTGAGCGTCCCGCTGTAGGCTACCTCGAGGGGCGATCGTTAACTTTCGCTACCTTCAACATCACCACGCCAATATCGCCCCTCCTGTCGGCTACGAGTCCTGCGCTAGCTGACAACAACGTGATTCAGACCATACCAGCTCGCCTTTGCCTGGCTCAGCAATCCCTCTTCTTCTGCACTTCCGCCAGGCCAGATACACAGCCACAGTCAGCGCAACGTCGCAACCACCAACCGAAACCCCTCCACAGGCCTCACCTCCAATCATGCCGCCGACCACAAGAAAGCGCGGCGCCCCGTCGTCAGAAGCTCCAGAAGCAACACCTGCGCCGGCTACCAAACGTCGCCGAGCATCCCAGGCATCCTCCACCAAGAGCCGTACAGACACACCTGCCAGACCACGCAACGTCCGCGCGACTATTATTGACGACGACGACGACGATGACGACCTCTTCGGCGAGAAGTCCGGCCCAGCAGCTGCCCCAGAAGACGACGATATTATCGATCTCGCCACCTCAGACGGGATACCTGCGGCGGCGGCGCGACCGCCAAAGGAAGACAGGAGGGTGAAGATTGGTGCCTTTCAATGTGCGATCTGCATGGACGACTGCACCGATTTGACAGTCACGCACTGCGGTACGAACTATAGCTGAATCTTGAAACTGACGCCTGCTCATACATCAGCAGGCCACCTGTTTTGTGCCGAGTGCCTACACTCTGCGCTCCACATCGAAGCGACACGGAACAAATGTCCCATCTGCCGTACAAAGATCGATAACAAGGATCGAAATGCATATAGCACCAAGACAAAGGGCTTTTGGCCGCTGGAGCTGAAACTCATGACAGCTGCGGATCTCAAGGGAAAGGGCAAGCAGAGGTAGCGCATCCTTGGACGAAGGCACTGGGACGTGAACCGCAAGGTCTAGGAGATGGCTGATGTGGAAGCTCTCGGTCTACGTCTTGCAATCGGACTGGGACAGGACATTGGGATTCTTCAGCAGCATCGACCGTTTTGAGATCATGGGCCGGAATACGGGACAAGTACAGTTTACGAGTGGTGAAGGACTACCGGGGAGGGAGGCTGGCGTTTGATAATACCCCATCAATAGTGTTTTCGGCTTCGGCCAGATCGGAGGGCAATGATGCATAGACCGGCGTGTCTAGGTACTTGCTGCAATCATATTCATATCCAACCGTAGACCCACCTACAAACTGCATGCTGCGACGTGGCATGCGTGGTATGCTCCTTACGATGCGACAAAATCATTCATCCGTTGGTCACAAGCTTTCGAGAGGTGCTCAAACACTGATGCTTCCTCCACCACATTGCCTCTTTACCGCCGACCTAGTTGTCTCTGCACTAAGGCTTGGAGCCGCATCTACCTAGTTATACACCATCCCTTAACGCCTGCTTCAATGCTGCCGGACCACATCGGCTATTTGGTCTACATCTGCTCCCCCGCAAGTGAACGAATCCTGCATGGGATCGTCATCTGGACGAACGCATTTTCTCCTCTCATTGACCTGCAGTCTTACGGTGCTTCAGTGAAACAGCGAAGGTCCAGTGTCTCTCCGCGTTTCGGGCATTGTCTGGTTGTCATGCTGTATCTTGGTAAGCTCATGTCAAGACACACCCGGACCGTTAGGGCCACTTACCTCCAAGAAACCAGTCGCGGCAATCAGCACCACGAAACCTTCGGCCAACTCCTCGATCCACGCCTCCAGAGGGCTGTCGCCACCCTCTGCAGCACCAATGCCAGCGCTCCTTTTCAAAGTGTGCGTGACAAGCATGCGATGGTCTGTCAAGAACTTCTGCCCTTGACCAACGTAGCTAGCTCCCCGACAGACAATCGCTGCCCCGATGATGTGTGTAGCCTTGGCAAGGAGCTCATAGTGCTTCTCCAGTGCGCGGGGCTTGGCTCTGTCGCTCTGCAGCTCAGGGTCCGCAGCAAAGAGTCCAGACAATTCGAGCGCTCTGAGCAGGTTCGCGTGCAAGACATACTTGGCACCGATCCGTGTCTGTGCCAATTGCAGGAGCAGGGCTAACTTGGTCGATAGGTAAGTTTCCTGCGCCTTGTCCTCGGTCTTGATGATATGGGTCCATTCCTCGTGAACATTGCGAAGCGAATCAATGACGATGCCGATAAAGTTGAGCCTATTGAGTGTCTCAATGACGTGGGGGCTATCTTCTGCGCGGCTGAAGTTGACCAGCGCATTCAGAAGGATCATGGCAGCTGTCTGGCTGTCCGGCTCGCTGCCGTAGGCATCATCACAGATGATGCTGATTAGCCTCTCGCCATACATTTGGATTGTGCGCATCGTCTTTGGTCGCTCGGCCACGAGCATGCCTTCATCCACCATTCCGGTCAGGTATCGATAGCAGATACTATAGTAGATGGCCCGGATATCGGAGGTGCCGGCCCATTTGCCAATGGCCTGCAGCGAAATCTGGAATAGTTGGTAGAGCTTGTCGCTGACCAGGCTGCCGATGTTCTGGCTTTCTTTGTCGACTGTCGAAGCCTTCGTAGTAAGGTCAAGCTTGAAAAGCAAAACCTTTCCCAGCTTCGCCAGCTCCGCGGCCTCGGCCGGCCTATCGCATGCATATAGCTCCAGGCCGGGCAAAATGGCTTGCAAGGTTTGCAACAGGAACGACGTCCGAGCACTGCCCTTGAAATCGTTGGACTCTACCATGACGAGAAGTAGGCTTGTCCACGTCTTTAGGACCCTCAAGCTCTGGGATGCGATCTGCTTCTGCCGATTGGACGACACAAGATGCTCGACTATTGAAGCTTCCTCCTGCTCAATGACGGCAAAGTCCTGAGCTGTGAGCAAGACGCCCTCGCCGCGCCTCTCACTCCGCTTGAGCTGCAGAATATCCTTGATGCGCTCAATGTTGGCAACGGTGTTGTCATCAGCATCCTGTTCAAAGCATGTGCTCAAATCCAAGCCCTTATAAAATTGCACGGCGGGCTCTGAGTTGTCCCACATGCCGTCAGGCAGCAGGAAGTCGTACAAGTCATACACCGTTGGGATTGTGATGATTTCGTTTTCGTCACCCTGAAGTCTACCATTCAAGGCTTCAAAAATACGACGTTTCGCAGACGGAAGTCGACTTTGTGAAATACTGCAAAGCTCCATGGCGATATACTCCAGGGTCATGCTGCGTAGGGCTAGGAAATCGACGAGGGTAGTAGCACCATCAGTCAGCGGGAAGTGAGGCTGGTTAATGTCTTCGCCTTCCCAAGCCAGAGCGGGTTGTATGACAACATCCCGCAGAAGCAAGTGGAACAGGACGTCGTTCTCTCGCAGTTCATCGATGACGAAGGATGCTGACAAGGAAGAGTTCCAGAGAATGCGCAAAATTCGCATGCATTTGAACTTCAGCGTGATGAGCCAGGATCGCATGCCCTGGTTGTCCCCAGAGGGTGTCTCCAGCAACAGTCTCAAAACGGCGTGGAAGAGTGAAGTCCGCTCCGAAAAGGTGCCATTCGCGTCGACGGTCAGAGTTTCGACGCCGCATTGGAAGCCAAGCAATAGGTGAGCGATGGTAGGTTGGTTCGGCATCGCAGCCAGACAACTGTAAAGGAAGTCCAGAATGTAAACCTTAGTCACATAGTTCGGTGACTCAGCCTCCCTGCCCAGATCAAACGATGTCTTTAGCTCGGAAGCCAGTGAGCGTGATATCGCCTCATCATCGCCGTTGGCCTCCATCGCAATGATGGCTCTGTTTCTCTGTGTTTGCCGTCCGGATGTAAGTGTCCATGCCGATGTGATTTTGGGGGCGCTCGACATTCTCTCAAGTAGCTTCAAACAAGCCAGTGTAACATCAGGGTGGCCGATGCCGCAGTAGCTGCCGAGGTCTACGACAAGGTTAAGATGGCTAGCCAGCCCATCCTCAAAGGACGCGAACGCTGCATTGGACACAGTCTGCCTTCGATGGCTTGATTTGGACTTGATGACTGGTCGCACAAGTTCGACATAGGTCGACTGGAGATCGAGCACTTTCGAGATAACCTCAACGGAGCGCAATATGCTTGTGATGATGGGTGATTCTGGAGAAGCATTCCCGACCTCAGTCGCATCTTGGTGAATGATCTTGAAAAGAGCGTTGACGGTGTTGTCGTTAAACATCCACTCCATCACGCGTGCAAAAGGATGTAGTCGAACATAGGTCGCAAGATCGGTAGTGGCAATCGCCGCATCGAGTTGTATGTTCGTCTGGTTGGCCAGTATGATGAGGTCCTCATTGAATGTTGCCAAGCAAACAAATGCGAATTCGAGGCAGCTGAGCCTCAACAGTCGCGCCTGATAGACGTCGTTGGCATCAATAATCTTGGGTGAAGACAAGGTTGCGAGAACCAGGTCCACGTATATCTCGATTCCGGGCATGCGGAATGCTGAGCCCAGCGTCTCGGGAAAAGGTAGTGAGTCGTTCAGGGAACTGCTTTCTTCTGACGGCGTCACCAGTGACGTCAAAAATTGGATAAAGGCGATGCCCTCTTCTGGCGTAGAGACCAGTTCATCACCGATCTTTTGCTGAACGTCCTCGGGAGGGTTAAGAGGAGGTCGGTGATGCCCAGGAGGGAAAACAACATAACCGCCGCCCATCCAGCTCTCGAGACAAGTCCACATGATGTGACCTTCCTCTTGAGACTTGTGCGTTAGGAGACCACGCAAAGCAGTGAAGACGCTGGCTCGGATGTGGGGAAGAATAGGACTGCTTGCGAGCTGATAGCAGACCTCGACAAGGTTGTAGTTGGGCTCCTTAAGTAAAAATTGTCTGGCCGTTTCACTCTCTGATGTCAGCTTGGTGATCAGCCCTAGGTAGGCCTGCAGCATCATTTCCGACTCTGGTTCTGCTTCAGCTTGCACTGTGGTCGGCCTACCAGATCGATAGAGCGTGGCCTGAGATGTTGGTGGCGTATCTCGAGTCTTGTTGGCGAAGAATGTGAGTTCCCTGAAGATTTGATGCCACGTCAAGGACTGTGACCTTCTCATCTTTCCAGATGCATGATGTCCCTCATCCAACAAAAAGTCGTGGGCAGCAGTAGCACAGGTGTCATTCCCGGAGACTGCCTGCAGCATGTTGCAGAAGGCTGTAACCAAAGGTGTGGAAGCTCGTCGCGACGCCCAATGCATAAAGCCCGCCAAGTTGCTATCAGGGTCGAGCCAGAAGTTGGTAGCTGCGTCAGATCGGTCCTCGTATGACATGGCAATAATAAGCAGGAAGCGTTCGAGATCGGTGTCTTGTTCGTGTGCTTGACTGAGCTGCCGCTGTTCGTCCTCTTCACTGCGAAGCTTTCGCAGAACGTCAGGGAGGTTGGAAATGAAAGCATCAACGAACACCTCTAACTGAGCGGTGAGGCAGGCCTTGAAGAAGCTGGAGAATGGTACAGTTTCGAATACCAATGATGGTGTCTTGCGGGCTAGCCACTTGAGCAACGCCGCTCTGGACGGGTCCTGCTGCTCTGCACTGTTGACATCCGCTAGAATGGAGAGCATGAAGTCAAAAGCTCCGTCCCTCAGAGCATCGAAGAACGTCTTTGATCGTTCTCGATCCTCTGCTCGGTATCAGCAAATTGACCTCGACGTTGTGGATATATTCACGTTCACATACCTGCATCAAGGTCGACGCCTTGCAATCCACCGAGGAGCCCGTCATCCAGGTACCATCCGCTGTACTCGGCAACCCACCAAGCCTTGACAGCTGCTTGCAAGTTTACCAGAGGCCAGGAACTGTCGTCATTGGGGCGGCAGATAACGTTATGAAGCTCCCGCGCGACTGTGAGGTCCCCAATACCTTCTGTTGAGCCAAAAGTTGTGATATAAGCACCGAGAGCAGGAAACAAGTGCACTGTCATATACCATGTAAGTAGAGCTTCTCGTCGGACGGGAAACCTCGCGCTTACCAGTGAGGACATCGTATTTGTCGGCCTTCTTGAGCTGATCAAGGAACCCACGGAAGTCAGCAGTCTCCGCTTCCTTCTTTTCCACGGCACGGCATAGAACAACAGCCAGAAGTTCGTGCTGCTGGACAAGACTCGCCCGGGAGAACTCGAGCGTTTCCAGTCCCTCGGGCTTTTCCCTGTTCTGCCCGTTCATCAAGACTGCTGCCGCAGTCATTTTGTCCGCGATCCTTGCGAGCCAAGAGCGTACATCTTGCATGGCGGACATGCACCTAGGCAAGAGCTTCTTCCGGTTGACATCCTTGAGAACGTTGTCCGCCAAATATGCCTGGATCACGTTGACCACCTCGGGGTCTGCCTCATCGTCGTCGAGATCATCCACCTCAAACATCAACCGCAAACTGTCCAGAACGTATTTCCGTTGTTGGTGGAACCTGATGATGGCGCATTCGAGCAGTGGTCGTCCCAGAGTTGCGGTGTCTTCTTCGGCTTCGAGAACATATCGAGCGGCTTCGATCTCGTTGACTTCGGCTTCGTCTGCCAGATTCAGAGCTATCTGCTGAAATTCTTCGTTGACGGAGTATTCCTCCTCATCAATGACGATCTTGCCTGCAATGGCGGCGCGTTAGTCGGAAATTCAGCCTCGCAAGTTCTTGGCTGCGAGAGCTCTACTGACCTGACTTGACCTGAGAGCGACTCTTCTCGTCTCTCGCAGGCCGCTGCCATAATCTGGAGAGCTCGCGCTTGAAAAGCTCCTGCACAAGTGAATTGTCCCAGGACTCTGTGTTTTCCGGACGTCCTTCGCGTATTGCGACGAGGTCGCGATGGAAAGACTGCAGCGCGACCAGGGTAGTGATCTCGGCCATGCTGGGCGGAAGGGCGCTATGGCGTTGTCGAAGACGGCGCAGGCTGCATCAGCTGTTTTGGCGTGGCCCTGGAGTAGGAGGGCTTGCAGCACCTGCTGTTGCTGTCGTGGCTGTCGATTGTGTTGGTTCGCGGGTTCCGCCTGGAGATTTGTTGGAATTTTTGGCGCGCGACGAGTCGCAGGTGTCGAAGCTACTAGCACGCTGGAGCTGTAGCGGGCAGCAGTGGGTTGAAATCCAGCCGCCGTTGCTGCGGCGGGCGTGGTAGGAGATCGGCTAGTTTCAGAATAGCAGGCGGTAAGCATTTCTGCCAGTTATGTTGACCTGGATCACCTACCACCGTACAACGTTGCTTCAAGGACGACATGGCTCGCCCGTAATTTGGAAAACAGAGCCTTCTGACTCTCGCCACGGTCCGAGAGCCAATTTGCGCTGCTTTTTGTGAGTATGCGAACAGTTATTTTAACAAGTGGCATCCCAGGTATAGCAACGATCTTGAGCACTGGCATATTAGGAGCCTCAGCCAGGAGCAGGTGGTGAACGATGAATTACGGGGCCATTGGAATCTGGAAAGCACTGTTCCAAACGAACATCGTAGGTATTTAGGCCATGTATGTTGCAAGATTCTAACAACTCGTGTATTTGTTGCACTCCTCATCACCAAAATGTTTGTCGCCTTGACTTTGGTTGCCTGACTTGAAGGATGGAAAGTACAAATGCACTTGACCATCTTCGGCTAGCGCTATGATGAGTGGGATCCACCATAGCTGCCTGGTGGAACTTCAGTCGCCTCAAGCTCTACACCCCAAAAGTGCCTGGTCAAGGACATCTCACAGCCTCGCAACAGCTTGGACGCGTCTCATCGGCGACCACATATCATGAGGACATGGCGCCCGCTCCATCGCGAGGGGATGTCACCCTTAATGACGCGCTCGGTAAGCAAATTTGAACAATTTCGGGCCGGAACGCGGTGTCTACAAATGCTGATCTCATCAGATGCCATCACTGGAGGCACGCTAAAGGTCAGGGGCACTGGCTTGGACGACTTAATCTTTCTCCTTGATGAGAAGAAAGCCAAGACAGCCAACCTGTAAGTTCGCCAATCTTGTTTCTCACGAAACATGCCTGTTCCCGAGTAGCCGCTGCATTCGGGTTGCTGAACAACCTTAGATCCATTCTGGCAGATAAGCACTATCATCGCATCTTCGAGGCTCTTTTCAGATGTGCCATTACAGAAAAGCAGAGCTACTATAGCGGGAAGAAAACCACAGCAGCGTCTGCCGCCACACGGCTGTCCAAGTGCGCTGAGGCTCTCCGCCTAGCTTTGAATCATGGGGCCTCCAAATTGAAACGCAAGACGGTACTTGCAGTCATCGACCACATCACACAGACGCTGCCGGGGCCAGATAACAACTCCCATGAGATGGTGGAACCGCTTCTGCAAAACTACGTCAAGGCTATCGTTGCGCTTCTATCTCACCAGGCTAATGTCGAACACCTTGCCACGTTTGAGGGAAATGGTGAGGGCTGGTTGGATTGCATCGACTTCTGCCTTGACTCGATGACAACCTACCTCGATGGTAACGAACACGACACAGGCGCAAGCGCCCGCGCGTCCCCCGCACCAGGAACGTTCTCAACGCTGCGGTCTACTCTTACTAGCACAGCGAGTCAAAAACAGCCGGCACAATTTCATCGCAGTACACTACAGGACTTGCTGCACTGCCTATACCTCCTTCTCACGCCGCCGAACGCGCCTATTGCTAGGAGGTCCAATCCAATATCAAAGACCCTTGTACAAGTCTTGAGCTTGAGACACCTCGGCCTGAGCCGGATCACCCATCTTGCCTTCTCTTCTCTCAACGTCATCCTAACAAGCACTCAATCTAACGACCTTGTCCGAACCAAAGCTTTGGCCGCAGACGTCGCGCCGCTCATCAGCCACTGGTGGCAAGGTCGAACGGTTTCGAAGGACGAGATGCTCAACTCTGTGCGGGATGAGATGTTAAAGACCATATTTGCCATACATCTGCATCTGGAACGACTGCTGCAGGATGGGGAAGACTTGTCAATTCAAGGTGACGTGGAAGATCTCTTCGACACTTTGTGGTTGGAGTACACGAGGCGCAACGAACAGTCGCAGCTGCACATCGATGACATTAGCTTCACAATAACAACCCCTGACGATTTCTTCCGTCTCCGCTCATTCGGTCTCCGCCCACACAATCAAGACGGCGAGCGCAAGTGGGCGACGCTCCAAGTCTTAGCATTCCTTGAGAAAGCTTTGTATATAGCTCAAGCTCCTCGGCAATCACAACATGAAATTGGAACAGAAGAACTTGAGCAGCCCCGCAAAAAGAAACGTCGAGTCGACGCAGCAAATGACCGCCTTCAGGGCAGGCTGAAGTCTCCCAGTACTGGGGTGCGACGAGCTACGTTGCAACTGATACCTTTTCTTCTTGACCTTGACTTCATTTCTGCCCAGGAAGTCCTGAATCTTCATACTGAGATGCTTAGCTTTCTAGGCGAGACTGGGGGCACAGCATCGTGGGCCATGTTGGCATACAGTTGTGTTGCTGAAGGTCTCGGAAAGGGTCACGAAGATAGTGCTTCGACTTGGCGTCCGGTTTGGCAACTCAGCGCAAGAGCTGTCAGTCTTCCAGCCACATGTCGCGCTGCTTGTCATTTGATGCGATCTATCCTGGTACTCGAGATGCTCACGTATCACAGCGTCTCAGACGAGATCACAAGCATTGTCACAACCGCCGACGTGAATGGGCCTGCGATTCTGGTTGATTCCTCTATGGCGTTGATGCTGCAACTTATACTCCTCCGTGGCGTCAAGTTGCCAAACCAGAATCAATCAACCTCGCATCACGTCATCCGGTGGGTTTTCCTGCGCTGGAAACCAGGTTAGTCCCGCCTTCCAAGCTACTGTTGGAAGTACAATTTCTTACAAATTCAGCTGATATGGCATTTGCCTCGCTGCACTCTGCACACGTACACCCGGCAGAACTCGCCAACTTGTTCCGGGCTTGTTGTGGAACTGAAATGCTCCCTATTCAATCACGGCCTGTGTCGGGAAGCACAATCTCTCAGGCATGGAGCGCATATCAGCAGACTGCCCCTGTCACAAGCTTTCTACTCTTACTATCCAGCACCGCCTCAACAGCTAAAGATCATTACCGAGCCTCTCAAGACAATAGCATAGTCCTTGCGCATGATTCGACCAATGTACACGCAACCCAGAGGCTGATCCTCGAACTGCTGTTCCCCAAAATCGAAGAACTGCAAGAGCTCTGTCGATCATGGGGCAAGAGAGAAGGCGGCTCACAAATGTCACTCGAGAAGTTACAGAGTTTATTTTCTGCTTGTGTCGTCGGTACACTGTTGATTCCACAGCTCGAGCAACTCAACTCCCGACAGTCCAGAGATATTGAGGCTGCAACCTTCACACTTCTAGACTCAACTTTGGACGCCGTTCTCAGCGCTCCCGAGAATCAAGCCTTCTTCGAGCTTCTTCTTGGAGAAACGTCCCTCCATATACCTGCACTCACGACGACAGAGCTTGGCAAATTTGCCTTACACTGCCCTTACCTCTTGCGTCTTCTCTCTCGCTGTGCCGTAACACTTCGTCAGCGATCAGCCAGAGAACCGTCAGGTCGAAATGTTGATTTTATGGACCTCGACGATGAGTTCGACTCGCAAGAAAGCGGAACAAGCAACTCCGTCAAGATACCCGATGTCCCTCGTCGCAGCGAAGCCCTACAATGGAACAGTGAAGCCTTCTATCTTTCGACTGCTTTGCGACTTTACTTCCTCGAGGCTATCGATCAAGATAGAGAAAAGATCGGGTTTGTTCCAGAGCCTTTCTTTCAGCAACTGTCCAGTCTCTCCAGACAAGATTTTTTGTTGTCCACGGCTGTCACATCTGAAATATTCAACTCAGACTTCACTATCAAGCCTGACGAAGCGCTTGTGATCGTTGAGAAGCTTGGTGAGATGATTGGAGAGACGGAGTACACATGCTGTGAGACGGTACACTCCATGAGCCTTAGCATCATCAAAGGACTTTTACGCGTCTGGTCAGACAGCAAACACGACGTGGCTACTTTTGTCGGCGACCTCTATCACTATTTCGTCAAGGCATCCCTCCCGAAAAATAGTCTTTCACCTCGGTCCCAGATCGCACTCGCTGAGCTTCTATTCTGCTTGCTACGCGAGGATCCTCAGTATGGCAGCAGTCTTGGACTTTCCTCTTGCCGCACTACCCTCCTTTCAATTCTTCAACAGGGAAGCATGACCGTCAAGTATTTCATAGCCATGCGCTTGCCGGAGATATTCGCCCTATATGTGCTCAAGGCGCATGATGAAGTGTTTCTGGATGTCTTAGAGAGCTTGCCTACAGATCCCGGACAGATCGAAGGGATCGGATTTCGAATCCTGGTTCTGTCGGAACTTGCTTGTCGGTGGCCAACGCTCCTCCGTAGATGCACATATCACATCTTCGAGACTCCAGGCAAGATCAAACAGTCCAGCCAGTACGCCACTCGATGTCTAGCTAAGGTCTCAACCGCCCTACAGCTGGAATCACCCAAAGAGCTCTTCAAGATTTTCAGTCCTCAGCTGTTCTACACTTGGCTCGACGGTGATGAACTTGAAGAGATGCCGTTTGAAATTTTCGGATTCACGAGTCTTGAGGACATGCTCGAGAGGGCGCAATCTGAGGCTGCTGCACTAATGTTGATGCGAGGTCAGGAAGAAAGCACTGCCAGGCTTGCCCAGAGACTTTTGATTACCCCAGCTACGATGATCAAGCAAGGGTTCTCGAAGATCGCAGCCTATGCAATGGCTCACGATACCAGCGCAGGCAACTCGATTACAACGGCGGAAAGCCGTATCCGCAAGACCTTGGGTAAGGAACCATATCTTGACGCGATTTACGCCAATTTCGTCGACATCATCGCAGTCTTTTTCGACGTGTTCGACCAAGAAGACCCGAT